AAACAGTTTCCAGGCCATATGTTTCCGGGCCTGGGCTCTCACCAAGGCTCTATTCAACCATAGGGGCTGTCCCCTCTTTCTTATCCTCCTCAATGGAACAAACTCGTCCGCCAATTGTTTCAGGTTAGCTTTGACTTGGTGCTATAGACCTTCCACTGAGAGGCCTGCCACCTCCCAGTTCAAAGTCCTAGCGGGCTCCTGAAGAGCCGGCATGTCTAACATCCTGAAGTTCCTCCGCCACTAGTCAAGGGGCTTTGCAGTATAGAGTGGCGCTGTGAAAGGCAGAGTGCCGTGGTCACTTTTCCCTAGGAGGGTCACTACTTGGAGGTCCTCAACGTTACCGGGGTACTTAGCGATTATCAGATCCAGTGTACTCGACCTATGCCCCATGCGCCATCGGGTTGGTTGGCATGCGTGTTGGATCAAGCTCTTCTCCTCCATTAAGTTCATTGGTTTGTCCCAAATCTCTCTTGTCGATACCCTCATGGCCCAATCGACTTCCGGGGAATTTAAGTCCCCTACTATGAGCACCTCATCATTCCTCGTTACCACTTCTTGCAGGCATTGTAGGAGTTGAGCACTTTTCGCCCTCCTCCGCCGATGGGCTCCGACAGATACATACTATCGTGAGCTTATCTCCTCTAGTAGTAACGTGTGCTGGGATGGCCTAAATACAATCCAAGGAGAATGCTTCCCCTTGTAGTTGCACCAGATGTGAGGCCACGAGGAGCATGACTCCCCCACCATGTCAGCTCTGTAGGCGGTTTAACCTATCGGGCCAGAATGTTTATCGTTTTCCCAGTCCTTCGACCATGTCTCCGTTAGGGTAATAAAATCCGATCCAGCAGCCTCTACCTCCAGTTCTTTCCACTTGTTGCCGATACTGTATACGTTGCTATACAGTAGACTGAGGCAACTAGACCCTATGTTTGAGCAAACTTTGTCTAAGGGAGGGTTCGTGCACTCCAGCGTGAAGCTCGAGTGCTGATCCTGTTTTTTGTTCGTTGTCCCGCGGGGGTTCACAGTCGTTGCCACTGCGAATTATGCTTTTCTCGACCACTGTGTTCCACCGTGTGGTGCAGCCTAGCGGTGGTCGTTGGAGGATCGGACTTGAATCATTCTTTGGCAAGCGTATNGTATGCTAGTCCCTGACGCCGACACTTTCCCGCTTCTGTCGGGGAGGACGGTCTGTTGCATGTGATGCTTGCGCTGCCTTTGCCACGTTATCCGGTTCTACCCTTACCCGGGAATGTGCTAGTGTGAATCTTGGTTGACGCAGCCAAGAACATATCCTTGTACCTCGGATCACCGAATTCAACAAGGACCGGTCTCCCATTTGCTATTCTATTATTATCCTCGTGTTTCCATCTTCCCAGCCGCAGCACCCTCTTTACCAGGGCATGAG